CATATTATTATTATTTTGGATTTTTGAAATTTAAAATCCTATTTTAAAATTCAACTTTATTAATTTAGTAATTACCTTAATTACTAAAGTAATATCCAAAATGTAATTAATCAATCTTATTGATTAATATATTCCTTTAATTGATATCTAATCAAATTAGATATTTATCAATTAATTCTAACCATTAGAAATACAATCTTTACCTTTGTTCATAATTAGTGTGACCTTTTAGGTTCACCTTAATACTAGTAGTGGGTTTACAACACTTTGTAATTTGAGTTAAATCTTATTAACTCTTATTCATGAATTAACCCTTTAATTTATGAACCCACATATCATGGTAACACCTAGCAAGTAGCATGAATCTAGTATTAAGTGAATAGCGAGTAAACCTATTCCGATTACAACTCCATACATGTAAAATCCTTTCGACATCTAATTTCCCGATTAAGTCTTGGGTATGATTTTGTCGAAACCCAAATTGACTTAATAACTATGATTCTATTTCATGTTTATTAACCCGGTTATGAATCACTATTCATCTCTGCCTTGGCCAAGGACTTTGGATTAATAACTATGAAACACATAGGAAATTCACTTATCTTCATAAGTGTCGAATCCTTTATTGGCCACTAACAAACTTCCATACATATTAACATAATACCCAACTTATCCCTTTAAACGATAGTGCTAGCTACCAAAAGGATAAATCAAAGTAGAATGTAATATGCACAAAGTTACCATTGTGCCTCAAGTCTTAGGATTAGTCATGTACTATTGTAACATGAAAATTCTTATTCGACAGATTATTAACTAAAATAATTCTTCATTAAGAATTTTCATACGGTCATGTCCAGTGAACTTGTTCTCTAACAAGCACCCACATAAATGTATTTGCGTCTCACGCTAATGTTGATGAAATGCAACATTCTTGTCCAACAAGAGTACAAACTATGTGCAAGTCTTTTATGGATTATTCGATATCCCATCTCGAAACATCCATCGACTTGGAACTGTATTTAAGATCACGGCTTTCAAGGTATGTTCCATGATCACCATCTCTATGCGCAACCATACCTTATAACCATAAGTGATCTAGGGATTTTATCTTAAGTGCAAATATAAGATAAATGCTTACTCTTAAGATAAAGTAATGCCTTATTAACAATATAATTCCAATAGATCGTATTTACAAGTAGAATACGTCCAATCAGATTGGAACGCCGGGTACCCTACTCTAACACATATCACCATATTATTTCTATTTATTATATATATATATATTTGTACTTATGTAATCGTAAATAATATCGATATTTTTATATGATATAAGTAAAAAAATTCAGCACGGGTTGATATTTTCATTTAATGTACGGGTGTTTAATTATTATGATTAAAAAAATATAATTTAATAATTTTATTGAAACCAAAAATAATGTTTTATATAAAAGTAAATTATTTTAGTTTTTAAAAAAATAAAAAATTTAATATTTTTTACAAAAGCTTTCTAATTGAACACTCGTGTAATACACGGGTATTGTACTAGTATAAATTATTTAAATATATGAGAATCACTATGTTGATTGAAAAAAGTTTGCGGATAATGTAAATTTTAAAATTTTTAGGGATCACGGTCAATTAATTAAGTTGAGTTATTATTATTATTATTATTATAGTCACAATTGTTTATAATATTTTAAAGTGATTTGATTATGCTATAAAACTAATTAGCTTTTCTTTTAAAAAAAATAATTTCATGGGACACAAAAAAAAAAATAATATTGATTTTAGAATAAAAATCTTGAAGAAAAAACTTGCAACAGAAATTTTTATACTTATGTAAATGTATAACATTTAGTATGAATTGTTATTAACTGGTATTAGTATTAACTATTAATATATAATAGTAAAAAATATATGATTATACTTAATTAAAGTAATTATAATTTTTTCTACCATAAGTAGCTAAAAAATGGGCGGAAAACGTCCCTAATAGATGGATTAATCCGAAGGAAAAAACAATAGTAATGATATATGTTTGTAATAGAAAATGAAGAATAAAATAAAATGATTTTATTAAAAACATTGTCTATAATTATATATATTGATTATTACTAACAATTGATTAATTCATTTTCTTCTCGTGTTGTGAAATTTTGTGAACCAATACTTGATCATCAGCCATATATCATCAAGAAGTAATTATTATTCAGGTGTACGGGTTCAATAATTACCACACGAGTTATGTATATATACTCATGATAGCCTACTAAAATATACTACATGATACACATTCACAAACAATAAGACAATTATTAGGTTGAGTTATGGATTAAACAACTAACCTTTTTTAATATGTTTGCATAATTTAAACGAAAATGTATACTTTAAAAAAAAGTAAAAATATATGACATTTCATAATTTGAGAATTGATTTTGCTACAAATATTCATATACCGATCGAAAGTCGTTTCACATATTAAAATATATGTTGTGAATTTTAGGTCATGATTAGTTAAGTTGGTAAATAAATCTAGCATGCAAGTAATTTAATTCTTACCATAATATCGAAAACCATACGCCTTTACTCCTACTTGATTGAATTTAACAATGAATAAGAAAAGTTAATGCTATATATAAAGAAGAAAAATTCATTGATAATTTCTAAGACTCCCAATTCGGCGTCCACAAGCTTTCTTTCTTTTACAACAGAAGAACATTAAATTCTTAAAGGTCTCACAATATATTTGGTACTCTCCATTAATTATACTTGCATATAGTTCACATTGGCCAATATATACACTCATGTAATTCAATTCAATTCGTCGGTCAGGTTCTTGTATTGGCCAATATAGATATTTACTGGTCAAAATTAGGCTTAGTAAATTAATGATTCACAATTACTCTAGGCAAAATATTGGGATTAAAAATATTCACATAATAAAAAATAATGTCACCTTGGATTTCTTGTTTGGGCTCCTCCTTTTGATAAAAATATTTTAAAAGAAATACTAGAAATACATAACAATAATGCATACAAATAGAAAAAAAAAGTATTACAGAAAACAAGTGTAAGAAAGAGATATATTTCTTTATAACATTTTCTCTTATACTTATATTTCTTTAACAACCTTTTTTTTAATCCTAAGCCAATATACCTTTATTTTACCAAGGAGTGATTGCATGTTAAAATAAAGGCCTATAAGTTGTATTAAGATTTACAATCCCACACCTACAAAATAATATCTAATAATAGTATTAATGGATAGCTTTTCGCAAAGTATATTAGTTGGTGAGACTATTGAGTTATGGAATTGTTTGACAAATAATAATAAAAAATAAGACAATATGTTTGATAAAAAAAAAAGTAACAGCAAATTTGATGATATAAGTATGAAATTTCTCATTGGTTATATTTTTATTTCTAATAGTGGTATAATATTTAAACATATTGGATTAATAAATATTATTTATTATTTATTATTATATAATAATAGTGATTTATGTAAAGTTAGAAGATTTAAGTATATTATGAGTGACTAATTGATAAATATAATGAGTTTAATTTATAGCAAATAAATATTATTAATAATTATTGATTGATTATTTGTAAAATAATTAGTTTATGTAATTTAGCTTGAAATATAATTAACAATAGAATTATAAACTTCTTAACAACATACAAAAATGCAATTTTATAAAAATTTTTATATTGAACTTTTCGAAATTAGTCCTCTCTTTTCCCGAAGACAGATTGTATGAATTGTTTGCTAATCAAATAAAAAATTTGGATACTAATTATTCTTTGTAACTAATTAATTCAATCTGGTTAATAGGGGATATTTTGTTTATTTCTCTATTTTCTTTTTTTTTTAAAAAAAAAAAAAATATTGGACAAGCTATCTGTATAAATTGTTCATATCTTGACAAATTCTTACAACGGAGGATAGGGGCAATTACGTCATTTAATCACTCGGATTAATAATTCAGGTCTGTTATCTTTGTCACGAAACTCCCTTTTACCTTTCTTTGTCATGTTGGAGAAGCTACAAATTAAATATGTAAGAAAAAAAAAAAAACCATAAAAAAATTACACCCAATTTAATTAAAAACAAAAGTAGAAATAGAAAGTGGCGTGACCAAATAGCGACTCCTCTCTATCTCCCTTCTCATAATTTGGTGTGCGTTTCCCAAGAGAGAGAGAAAGAGGCGATTTTGCAGAGATAAATATTCATATATTCATACAACCAGATACCCTTTTTCTATTATATTTTTATTAATCTCTTATGAAATAAAAACACATCTCATTCGAGAAGGCGATTGCAGAGGACAAACAGCACTCTCACTGCAAAGGGATATAGAAAAAAAGGAGAGAGAAAGAGAAAGGTAGGGAGAGAAAATTTAGATAGAGAAACTCAAGAAGAAGAAGAAGAAGGAGAAAATTAAGAAGCACCTTCTTTTCCCCCTTTTTTTTAAAAAAAAACAAAAATCAATTTTCCCTTTCCCAAATCCCAGAGAAGAAAGAAAATGATGTCTGAGGTTAAGAGCCTGCAAGTGTAAGAAGGTATGTTGTTACATGGTATATTACTACTATCTACATAGACTACCTGAGATCAATTTATTCAATAAAGCTTAAATTCTAAAACCAAAAACAAAACAAAGGTAAATAAGGAAAATCTCTTTTTCTTTTGTTATGTGTGTGTGAAGCACAATTTTTTAATCAAAATTCCCGAAAAAGAGCAGTACAAGAAAGACTCCCGTTGGATATGCTTTCACTTTTTACTCCTCTCCTCTCCTCTCTCACTCACTCACTCTCCCCCTTTTCAAATCCTATCCTCTCTCAATTTTCTTTCCCTTTATTTTAGTTTTAATTGGGTTGGGTTCATTTTTCTATTTTGAATGACACTGAATCTCATCAGTTGTTCAAATTCTTTGTCCAGAACAATTCAGACATCCGGTGAAGAAAAAAGAAAAAGAAATGAGTAATTACAGAAAGAGAAGATGGGATTAGCAACACAGACATCATCATCATCATCATCATCATCTATTCAATTTACCGACAACAATCACACCAGCATGTCTCAAGATTACCACCACCACCAAGCCGCCATCTTGAATTTGGACAGATCACAAGAGGCGCCGCCCCACGTCGCCCAACAGCTGCGGCGAGACAAACTCCGCGTGCAGGGGTTGGGGTTGGACGACGACCCCATGCTCTCGGAGATGTTGGACTCCCAAATCCTCTCCACCTACCATCAGATCCCGAGCATGGGCTCAGATCCGGCCGCAGCCATGCACCTGTTTCTGATGAACCCTCACCCTCACCCTCACCCTCACCCTCACCGCCATCGATCTCCGCCGTCCACCCTCAACAACTTGGCTTGGCTCAATAACGAAATCCCGAGCATTGTCCAAGGTCGTCAAGCCCTCTCTCTCTCCCTCTCCTCCTCCGAGGAGAACAACATGCTTTTTTTCGCTTCTTCAGCAGCAGCAGCAGCGCCACATCATCATCAGTATAATAATAACCAGATGATGCTGCAGCAGCAGCAAATGGGTATAGGAATAGGATCTTCTTCTTCTTCTTCTTCTTCTTCTTACGGAGGAGGCTTGAGCCTGTTGAGAAACTCCAAGTACGCCAAGGCCGCACGGGAGCTGTTGGAGGAGTTTTGCACTACTGTCGGCCGGCGGGAACACAACAAAAACCGAAACCCTACCAACTCCTCCTCTTCCTCCAAGGAGGTGAATCTGCCCGCCGACAGGCTTGAGCACCAGAGGAGAAAGCTCAAACTTTTATCTATGCTTGACGAGGTACGTACCCTTACCCTTATTAATTCATTAATATTCTTCTCTCGCTACATAACATAACATAACATAACAGCTGGCTGGCCAATCATTAATTACACTATGTATGTGCTTTCATTTAATTAACTACTCCAACTTTTAATTTCTTTTTTGTTGTCATTAAAATTGAAATTATTTTCTATTGTTGATTGAATTACTAAATTCCAATTATATTATATTATTATAATTTCTCCACCTAATGCATGATTAGTCGTAATGATATGATTATAATTATAGGATATTTCTGATTTGGTGTTGTGCACGTCTTACACACCAAGCAGGTGGAGCGGAGGTACAAGCACTACTGCGAGCAAATGCAAATGGTGGTGAACTCGTTCGACATGGTGATGGGGTTGGGGTCCGCGGGGCCTTACACATCCCTAGCCCAGAAGGCCATGTCTCGGCACTTCAGATGCCTCAAGGACTCGATTGCCTCACAGCTGAAGCAGAGCTGTGAGGCGCTCGGAGAAAAAGACGCGAGCTCGTCAGGCGTGACCAAAGGGGAGACCCCACGGCTACGCATGCTGGAGCAGAGCCTCAGGCAGCAGAGGGCCTTCCAGCAAATGGGAATGATGGAGCAAGAGGCGTGGAGGCCCCAACGAGGCTTGCCCGAGAGATCAGTCAATATTCTCAGGGCATGGCTTTTCGAGCATTTTCTCCACCCGTAAGTTTATTTACTCTACTCTCTTTTTTTTTTTTCGATTTGCTAATTAAATCAACTCATCATAGGGGGGTATTGGGATCGGGGAAAAGCCNTTTTTTTTTTTTTGTTAATTGATTTATTTTATATTATTTTAATTAAAATTGGCTTTTGATTGTGGTTTAAAACTTTAAAAGGGTTTGGGGAAAAAGTGGTATTTTTCGCGTCATGTATGTATCATTTTTATTTTTTGTATATTTGTTAAATCCTATAATAGTCCCAATTAGTTGCACCTGATTTTTGCATTACGACAGGTAAAACTTTAGAAGAGGTCCTACTAACAAGATTTCTGGTTTTTTATTTTTTTGTTTTGAAATTTTCAGATTCTCCTTTACTAGCTAGCTATGGGCCTAACCTATTTTCGATAATATTAAACTAAAAAGATGTAGGTGTCTCCCCACCTAGGAAAACCTACTTATCTGAAATACAAATCGATAGTCCCATTTGACCACAAAAAATTCTTGCATGATTAGATATTCACCTATCTATTGGCCTAGACCAATGTCATAAATTCAACACTATCAATTTTGTTATTGTTGAATTAATACTTTACAGTGTATTTAATTTATGTGTGATCTAATCATAAAGAAATAATTATTGTACTTGATTTTTCAAAAAATTGGAATTCTTTATGGGGGAGGTTGTTATAATCACAACCCTTAATTAATTAAACACTTCCAAAAGCATTCGTTTATTAAACTTTCGCACACGATCTAGCATCTCCTCATCATTTTGATCATTTTGTCATATTTAATTATTTATCCAACAAATTTACATACTTTTTAATTTTAAAAATAAAATAATATAAATCAAAATATAATATAAAAATATATTTTCTCATAAAAAAGTATGGCCACTCACGAATAATCAGCCTAATAGCAGCATTTATCATATAATCTTTATTTCATGATTATTTGTTGTTCACATTCTTTTTCTTTTTTTACTATGGTCAAGGTCAACATAGTAANTTATCATGTGGTAATACCCAAAACATGACCCAACTTTTTCGCGCGTGTGCGAGACAAAACATCATAAGAGCGAGCTAATAAAATGAAAAAACAAAGGCCGTCATGAGCTGTCCCTTTTTACCACTGCTGCAATCTCTGCACCCATTGCTGCATATATACGATCCTCTTTTTCCATTCACACAAATTACATATACACCAAAATAATAATAATAATAATTAAAAAATAAAAATTCTATGGACATAATGCACATAAAGCTAGTGTCACACCTCTTTATCTGCTATGTATGTAAAAGCACTGAGAATCTAAATGTCGTTTTCTTTTTTGGTCTCTATCTCAGGTACCCAAGCGATGCCGATAAGCATCTCTTAGCTAGACAGACTGGTTTATCAAGAAATCAGGTTTTCTTTTACCTCTATCATTAATTAATTGCCTCATTATTCTATATTATATATTATTATTTCGTAACACAAATTCTTGTCTGAATTGGCATAACCACCAGGCTGGTCAACTCGTTTTTCTTTAATAAAATTAAAATATATATATATATATATATATATATTTGCTATGAAATTAATGCTTACTTTGTTTAAATTAAAGTATGACGGTTCAATTTGACAATTAAAATTATGCGTGTCTATTGAAAAAATATGGTGGCCTAATCATTAAGTATGCCTAACAACGATAATTCGTGTGTGTGGGCATGTCTATTAGCTAAAGTACAATTTTAACACAAATTTTTGTGTGTGACAGTCTAAGTGCTAGACGGGTCGACCCGTTATACCTTCTGTAAAAAATAAAAACGCATAGTTTGTTTATATTATTATCTAAAGTATGACATTTTAGTTTGAAAGTATACATATTTGTCGAAAAAGTATATTTTTTTAATCATTTACTTTTTCTTAATCATAAACTTAAATAATATATATAAACATATATGCACATATATATATTAGATTTTTATTTTTGAATGAGATGGTAAACTTTTTTTTACGGTTATTTTGGTGTGGTTTTGAATTTTGGTTGGGTACTTTTTAATTTTTGGCACAAAGACATAAATTCTGAAACAGAGAAAAAACCGCTGCCAGTAGTGAAGGCAGAGGCAAGTACAGTAGAGTAAGACATGAAAGTTTGCAGCTTTCAATACTCTCTTTCTCTCTCTTACGTCACCACATTTATTGGTTTAACCTTTGGAGCTCCAGATTTGTGCTCAAAATGGTAGATTTGAGGCATAGATGCTAAGCCACTCCTTTCTTGTTCCACTTGTTTTTATGAATATACAAACATGTATTGAACTACTAAAAACCCTATATTTTCTTTTATCAAAAAAAGGAGGAAAATTTCCATTAAAAATGCTCATATTAAATAAGTTAAATGATTACATAATTTCATGTGTAATAAATGTTAAATATATATTTTTTCATGTGTAATAGTATTATAATTTCATGTGTAATAAATGTTAAATATATATTTTTTCTAAGTAGTGCAAAAGACGAATAGGTTTTGCTACTTAGATCATTGTTCACATTTGTCTTTTTCCTTGTCCGATAATTAATATTCGGCATTTAATTCTTTCAGTAATGTATCATACTGTTACCATTCATTTATTCATACTTTCATTCATTCAGAAGAAGAAAAAAAAAAATCCCTGCAAACATTGTGTGTATGTGTGTGTACGTAGAAATGCATGCACCCACAACAACACAATAGACCCCATTACAATTCAGTGAAAAATACTTTGGTCCTTTCTTAAATCTCTCAATTTTTGCTTTTTAATTAATTAATTTTTTTTCAGGTTTCAAACTGGTTCATTAATGCCAGGGTCCGTTTATGGAAACCAATGGTCGAAGAAATGTACCAACAAGAAGCCAAAGAAGAAGAGACTGCGAATGAAGAAGAAGAAGAAGATGAAAATAATAACAATAATAATAATATTAATAGTAATATTAATCGGGACCAAATTAACAGCTCGACCGGTCAAAACCCGACGCTCTACAACAGTTTGGCTCCGAACGAAGATGTTGACGGTCAAGCAAACGACCCGACTCCGTATGCCGGAATTGTCTTATCCGATGCTGCCGGAGCTCCGGCCGCCGGGAACCCTTTTCCGGCGAGTAATGCCGACGATATCGAGGCTACTTTGATTAGGTTTGGTGCTGGTGACGTGTCGCTGACGCTAGGGCTGCGCCACGCGGGGAATTTGCCGGAGAAAGGGCCGTTTTCAGTTAGGGATTTTGGGGGGTGTTAGTTTAATTAAAGTTAAAAGTTTTACTATTATTATAATATATTTAATTAAATAAGATATTTTAAGGCTATATCGCGGTTTTTTTTCTTTTTGTGTTTTTATAATATTAGTNTAGCAGGTTTTATGAGATTTTATTGGAACTGTGTATAGTGAACTTTCTGCATACTTGCAATCTCATGTCCAGTGGTCTTTTGGTGGAAATAAAATTTGTTACAAAGAGAATGAGTGTGTTTTTTTGTAGGGTTTATCTAATGGTTTGGCTAATTTAATTATGAAATGATGGTGGGGTATAAAGTACGCAGATTGTGTTAGAATATAGAAATTCTGTATTACGAAATTGTGTTGCATTACAGAAAAATAAATTTAAAAGCGGAAGCGATACAAAAAATTATGTCTTCGAGAGCATTCCACTACCCCTCAAAGCTCTTTCATTGATAAATCGGTTTGCTTCCCACAAAACACAGCTTAGAATTACTCGACTCGAACTCCCTCATAGTCTGGCCAACACTAGACCCGATCCTATCAACTACTTCCCTAGCCACATCCCGTGGACTTTACTATAGCTAAGAATCCCTCCCAGCTACAAAAATACATAATCCCTAAGCACTAAAAAGTATTTGTAAAAGAAAAAGAAACTAAACAAACTTAGTTCGTCAGCAATATAAGAACGCTGAAGTGGTATGACGAATAAAATCAAAAGAATAAAAAACTTTCAAACACTCAATTGAATTTTATGAATGGTGATCTCGACTATTGCAGCAGCTCCCTTCAATTGAGAGTTTGAGTAGGCTTATATACAATCTCCTTAAGGTAAGGAGTCTTTAAAAGTTTCTCTTTTTCCTTTTAGGAGTCAATTTCCTTCTCAATTGATTCCTTTCAAATCTTGGACGAAATTCTTCCTCTATAACAAGTTTCCTTGATGTAGAATTCGTGAATGTGATTTGGCGATCTTCAGAATTGAGTTTCCAATGGAAATCTCTTGTGTTTCCAGACTCGTGTAAGAACACAACATTTCTAAAATAGCCAATCTTCTAAATCTTCAAAGATCTTGTGGTGAATCTTTCCAAATTCTCCTTAGATCTTCTAGAGAACATTCATAATTCTTTATGTATGATATCTCATCATTTCATAGTCCTTGTCACTTATTTCTCATCCTACAAGAGAGAGAAAATTAATTATGGCATAGAATCAAGCTCATTAATGCATGTGACATATATGGTAAGTAAATATATAAGATATATATTATGTAATCCTTCTCCTAAAAGTTTAAGACTCCATAATACACATTATAATAAATATATACCATATATTATTAATAATAAATATTAGGAACTTAATTAATTAACAAGTAAATAAATAGAAAACTTTCCTTTAATTTATTTTGCTTGCCTAACAAGAAAATCTTCTAAAACACACTTAGATTTGTCGAACGATGCCAAACCAATATTCTTACAAACAAACCAATATTCTTACAAATTAGATTTAGTTTTTGTCGATTATAGATTTTTGGAGTGACAATTAACTTTGATCCTCTCCCCATTGAGATATTGTATTCAATATTGTAATTTTTTATATGATTTTTTTGGGGGGTTTTCAGTT